CGGAAACAATGCCCAAGTGTATAACTTAAAGGCGGACTACAAGAGAAAGAATGAGTCGGCCGTATTACGCTGTTTTCGATGCACCGGAAGTCATAACCCGAATAATTTCAGATTTGCTCAGGTAATCTGTAAATTCTGCGGAAATAAGGGACACATAGAAAAAGCATGTATCACGAAACAAAAGATTGGAGGAAGAAAAATTCCAAACCAGGGAAGAAACCAAATTGGGCCACAACGGAAAGAGGTATGCAGCCAGAGAGCCAAAGTACACCGAATTGAGGAACATAAAAATTTAACATCGAATCAGGTAGAGGAATATTCAAAATATGTTAATTCAAAATACGTGGAAATAGGATACCACACTTAAAAATCTTAGTCAATATTGAAAATATACCAGTCATGATGGAAATTGATTCAGGGGCTGGGTACACTGTAGTGAGTGAGCAGACCTTAAAAGAAATTAAAATCCAGCGAGACAAGTTAGAACCGAAAGAAGTCAAATTACAGACATGGGCGGATCAGAATCTGGAGGTAGTGGGCACTACAATGGTGAGTGTACAATTTAAAGGAAGAGTTATGAATCTGCCATTGTTAGTGATTAAAGGAAATGGACCAGGAATTGTTGGAAGAAATTGGTTTGAACCATTAGGAATCAGAATAGAGGGACTATATCACCAACATGATGCAGAGGATCTGATACAAGAATTCCAGCATTTATTCAATAATTCAGAAATGGGTCTATTTCGTGGCGAGGCAGTCAGTTTGGTGATAAATAAAGATGCTAAGCCTATTTTTATGTGGGCAAGGCAGGTTCCTTTTGCATTGAGAACAAAGGTAAAACAAGAGTTGAATCGACTTCATCAGTTAGGAGTTATAGAACCAGTTAGAACTTCTAAGTGGGCCACTCCTGTGGTACCCGTTCAAAACCAGAACGTGGAAGTGTACGTTTATTTGGAGATTACTGCTTCACTGTAAACAGAGAGGCAATAAAAGTAGATGTATACCCATTGCCGGCCATTAACGATATACTTGCTTTATTATCTGGTGGAAAGGTATTTGCCAAGTTGGATTTCAAGGAAGCGTACTTCCAATTTCCTGTGGACCAGGAGTCGTCTGAAATACTGACTATCAACACATGCAAAAGTTTATATAGAATGAAAAGATTACCATTTGGAGTGAGTAGTTGTCCAGCTATTTGCCAGAGAGAGATGGAAAAGATCGTAGGAGGTATTCCAGGGACAATTGTGATGATAGATGATATACTTGTCATGGGACTCAATGAAGAAGCCCTATATCAAAAGTTGAGGAAAATTCTTAACCGAATTTTAGAAGCTGGACTAAAACTGAACAAAAGCAAATACCTATTCAAAACAAATCAACTTCAATTTTTAGGATATTTGATAGATGCTCAGGGCATTCGACCCACACCGGATAAAATTGCGGCAATCCAACAGGTTCAGGACCCGAAAAACAAAGTTTTTCGGGTCCTGAACCTGTTACAAGAGTTACAAGCATTTTTGGGATTTGTAAACTTCTATGATAGATTTTTGAAAGATAAAGCAACCGAAGCTGAACCATTATATAGTCTCCTGGACAAAAAGAAACCATGGATCTGGAAAAAAGAACAAAGCAACGCATTCGTGAAGATAAAAAAGATGCTAACACCAGAAACATTATTAATCCATTATGATTTAAATAAACCAGTATTGTTGTCATGTGATGCTTCACCATATGGAGTTGGAGCAGTACTTTCACACATATTACCAGATGGATCAGAAGTTCCTATATACTTTGCATCGAGGACACTCCACCCAGCAGAAAGAAATTATTCACAATTCGAGAGAGAAGTATTAGCTATAATCTTTGGCATCACAAAATTTCATAATTACCTAGCTGCTCGAAATTTTACTATATATACGGATTGCAAGCCAGTTGTGGGCCTTCTGAACCCTGCTAAACCAATTCCTGATTTAATCTCACCCAGAATGATTCGTTGGTGTTTGAGATTAGCAGCATACTCATATAGGATTGAACATCGTCAGTCAGCAGAGATGACTAACGTTGATGCATTATCGCGTATACCAACTACTGTGGAAGAAAAGACTATCCCCGAACCAGGAGAGATATTCCTTATATTTGAACAGCCAGAATTGCCCATCACATCTCAGGAAGTAAGCAAAGAGACAAACAAGCACTCAGTGTTAAAAAGAGTTGAACATGCGATCTTACACGGATGGTCACTTTAGTAGTCCAGAAGAACTTATGCCTTTCGCTAGGCGAAAGCTAGAACTTTTAATTCACCGCGGTTGCATTTTATGGGGACAAAGAGTAGTTATCCCTAGAACCTTGCAACCACAGCTATTACACCTGTTACACTCCACACATGAGGGCATGTCTAGAATGAAAAGAACAGCCAGGAGCTATTTTTGGTGGCCTGAAATGGACTCCCAGATTGAAGAGACAGTATCGATGTGTAGAAAATGCCAAGAACAGAGGTCAAACCCAACCCCAGTTAAAGACACTCATTGGCCATCACCCTCGGGACCTTGGGACCGAGTACACATTGATCATGCAGGACCACATTATGGACGTACATATTTTATTCTAGTGGATGCTTATTCGAAGTGGGTGGAGGTAGAAGAAGTACAAACTCAGTCAACCCAGGAAACCGTGAAACTATTGAGAAGAATATTTAGTACACATGGACTACCAAATACAATTGTATCCGACAATCATCAAAGCTTTAAATCCCAAGAAATGGAAGAATTTATACGAAAAAATGGGATACAGCACATATTTACCCCTCCATATCATCCCTCTTCCAACGGACAAGTAGAGAGACAAGTGCAAACTATAAAGAAGAGAATCGAAAAATTACATCACAGCCAAGAAAAAAGTGAGGTGTTGCTCCCCAGACTTTTGTTTAGCTTACGCACAACACCTAGTAGCACTACAGGAAAAACGGCAGCAGAACTGTTGATGGGAAGAAGACTACGTACCGTCTATGATCGATTAAATCCACACCTATATAAGGAGAGAAAAGAGGAAACAAGAATACGAGAATTCCAAATAGGAGACAACATCAATTACAGATGTTATAGAGACGCTAAGAAGTGGAAACCAGGTAAGGTGACAAAGAAGACCAGACCATATACATACATGATAGCTTCACCAGAAGGAACTATAGAAAGAAGACATATTGATCAACTGATAGCTCGAAGAGAACAACCACTCCAGAACAAGCAACATCCAGTTTGTCAGAACAACCAACATCCAGCTCCCCAGAATAATCAACATCAGGACAAAGGACCACCGGTTAGAAGGAGCTCTAGAACACGGACATTACCTGCACATCTCCGAGACTTCATTTTAGAGGAGGAAGATCTGTTGTAACGTTGTGACTTATCTGTTGTAACTTGATCTGAGTGTCGGGTCAGGGGTGAAAATTCCAACATACCTTTCGAGAGTCGGGGAGAGTTCTTGTGTAGTCGTCACCCCAGTCGGTTGTTTCGAGAGGGAATAAAGTTAATTGTTGATTAACTACGTGTTTTTTATGTACAACAGTGTCGAAAACAAAAGCGATATAAAATCTGTAACGCCCGAATAGGGGCCAGTTACTCTTAAAAAAACCTCCCGAAAGGCATCCCCTAGGCAGATCGCCCAAGTGTTGCGTTGTTGTAACTTAACAAAACAACAATTATTTCTACAGAGAGCGACATCGCAGAAAACAATTGGCGGATAGGGCATTTGGTGGTTTCCAAGCGCGACTTGGTTTTAAGGCCTCCTTGTTCTAAATACTGAGTAATGCTATTAAATCAATTTATAAGTTAATTTAAAAACACCAAACGCAAGCAGTTAAGAACTTTTTCATTTGTTCCCACGATTTGCAAGAGATGAAAGGTGACGAAAAAAACGGTGACCGTGATAAAATAAAATATATGAAATACAGGCTTCGTTAATATTTATTTATTCAATTATCGTCATTCTGGTCATCACTTATTGTCAGCTTCACGTTGGAGTAGCCGCAATGCTTCTTTTATTTTGGCGTTTAACTCGAAGACTACTCATAAGATGGTCCGCAGCAACATAGGCATCGAGTCTGTCGTTGTATCTCTTCTAGAAAATTTATGGGTATTTAACCTTTTGTCTAGTCAGATTAATAATACGAACCATTGAGTGCCGTTCACGGCAAATTGTCTGTGCCCGAGGTTCTCGCAATGTATCTTCTCAAGCTACTAAATTTCAGATGCCTCTGACGATCGGAGGCTTCGAGCGTTCGCCTCTCGAGCCTGTGCCACGATCCACCATGGCAAAAAACATTAATGTAAATAAACTAAGAAACTTTCCAGCCTTGGGCGTCGGCAGAGACGTCAAACGGGACACTTGCCATTCCCTGGGATCGAATAAAAAATTCCACCAATTACTGTATAATCTTAAAAGTGATTGATAAAATCTAAGATCCAAAATGGAAGACGAGTCGGCTATCGTGTCTATATACTGCATACTATTACGTCAATTCGACGTCATTTTACGCTTCCTCATTACAAAAAAAAAGTATACGAATGACGTCAAAATGACGTGTAGTCGCTATTCTGATAAAACGAATACGGCTTTTATGTAATTCGGAATTATTTACCGTTCAATTCTGACATTTAAACTCCGTTCTCCTCGTTTTATAACGAATTTTATTTAATTTCACAAAAATACTGGTCCGAGGGGAAAGTTTGAGAACACGTGATCCACATAGAGCCTCTACGCTACTATTACGTCACATCACCGACGAATAACGACGGCCGACCTATCATTTATCCGGAAAACTTGTCCTTACGTTTTAAACAAATTAAAGATTAAATTTAAGTTAACTTTCCGAAACAAATATTTAATTTATTCTTCTCAGCTATTTTAAATTAGTTTTTTTATGCCTAATTTTCGTATAAGAGAAATGTTTTCCGTAAATGTCGTTTCTCATTTTTCCTCAAGGACACGGTGACCTATCGACGTCAATGGCTGGTGGGCGCATGCTCTTTTGTTTGGTAAGCACCGGCCGGTGGGTAAGTGGGTTAGTTCGATCCTCCGCTATTTCGACTATTTTAGAAGAATTTGCGAATTGCAGACGCATTTTTTCGCCGTAATTTAATAAATAGGTGAGTTGCGATTTCGTTAAAGTACTTATCACTCGAGAAATCGATATATTTTACCGCTATTTATCCGGAAATTCCGGACGGGTGCCAAAATGGCGGAAGGGTTCGTAGGAATGGCAAATTTTTCTACACAATCGTTAAATATTAAGGCAATTCGTTAATTTAACCCGGAAGTTAACGCTTTGAAGGGAATTTATTTCGTTTGTAAATCTACAAAACGTCTTTTATTTATTTATTTTTATTAGGAATTGATCCTCACCTTAAAAACTTCTCAGGTTAAACACTTGCTCTATTTTAAAATAAGTAGAACTTACCTCACGTGTTTGACCCCTTTATTAACCTCGTGTTCTAAGAATCTCGTGCAATACTTGTTAATTTCAATTTTATAATTAACTTAAGTCGGAATTATTCTCCTATTGTATCGCGTTTTAATAGATAAACCTCAATATATTTATAAATAAGAGTTAAAAATGATGTTAAACAATCGATATAGATCATCATTTCTTTTGTAAATCCTATAGGTTTGAATAATTAAAACTTGTGGATTTCCAATTGTGACGAAATCTTTGATGTAATAATGAAAGAATATGGTGCGAAATGGATAGAAATATTGCTACAAATTATTATACGTGTGTATTAATAAAATAATAAATTTCAAATGTGTTTAATGTATTGTGTAATGGAATGAAAAAGTAATTAAAAGGTGATTTCGAATGTACGAAAGTAATTTCATACATTCAAATTCCATTACACAATACATTAAACACATTTGAAATTTATTATTTCATTAATACACATGTATAATAATTTGTAGCAATATTTCTATCCATTTCGCACCATATTCTTTCATTATTACATCAAAGATTTCGTCACAATTGGAAATCCACAAGTTTTAATTATTCAAACCTATAGGATTTACAAAAGAAATGAAGATGTATATCAATTGTTTAACATTATTTATTAAAGGAAAATGTGGAAGTGAGTCGTAATGTTTCCTGTAATTGTACGCACGTGGCGATGGTCTTCTCGTTAAAGTAAGGATGTATTTGTCTCGACGAAACTGTGTGGTTTTATATAATTTATAATATAATATTTAAATAGTTACTTAAAAGACAGAACATATTTTATTTGGCTAGCTCTCTTCTTAATTTAAATTTAGGTGTATATTTTATAAATTTAATATATTGACTCTGAATTTATAAAGATATTTCCTCGTTCGTTCAAATAAGAATAATAATAATGTTTCTGTTCTTTGGTTTGTTTTTACAAAATAATAAAAGCGAGATTTATTTTTAAAATTTAAGCACGTGCACGATTTTACTAGATTACAATTTAAGTCGAAAACATTTGGCTTATTGTTCCGGTTAATTTATTATTATATCATTCAAAAATATATGCATATTTCAAATTTCTTTAGAAAGAAAAATGTCTGACATACCTCCCGGGGATCCTGAAAAGGGTAAGAAAGTATTCGTCCAGCGTTGTACTCAGTGTCACACTATCGAAGCCGGGGGCAAACACAAGACCGGACCAAATCTCCACGGTTTGATAGGACGTAGTACTGGACAGGCACCCGGATTTTCTTATACAGATGCAAACAAGAAGAAAGGTATTATGTGCTTATATTATTGTAATGAATTTTAAAAATAAAGTTTTATTTGAAAATAAATTTATTCAATTCTAACAAGAATATTAATGTAAAAATATCAATAAAAAATTTTTTTCTTATTTCTATATATAAAATTTATCCATATTTGGCCACTAAAGAAGTCAGTTTTGTATCTGCAATGGATGATTGCACAAACAAAATTGATTACTGAATCTTGTTGTCCATCAGTTTTATTTATGTGAATTATTTTGTCTTAAAGACAAATTATGGAAATTATATTAAAGTTTCTTACATAAACTCAAAAATTTTGTAATTTGAATTATTGACTTATGACAAAATATTCTTTGGTGCAGTTGCTATAGAATGGTTTTTGCATAAATAGTTTCCATAGCAGTGGATTATCTTACAAGTGAATTAGATTAATAAAGCATTATTTAAAATTATAAACTTCATGATGATGATGATTAAATGTAATGCATTTTTTTTTTCTTGATTAAAAAGTAATTAAGTGCCATAAAGTATTGAATACTTCTAATAATTTTAATTATTAGAAATATTCAGAATAATTCTACTGCATTTAGTTTATTTACTTTTAATACAGAATCAATTAAATTTTGCTTAGTGTATATTTTTTTCTTGGGATGATATAAAACTGTTTGCCCAATACAAAGGTTAAAAGATAACGTATTGAGCAAAAATCTAGGTTTTTAATTGTATTGATAAACATTTCATAAGTTACAACTAAGTCAGATTACTAAACAAATTTTTAATTCATTGACACCTCATTGTACACATTAGTTCATAAAAAGTTAAAGTAAAAATGCTGTCTGTGGCTTTTAAATTTAATTATAACATGACAGCTTTAGGGAAATAGTTTTAAAAAAAGTTTATTCTTCATTCAGCTCATTTTGAGTTTTTAAAAATTAAAAGTCTCAATACTGTAACTTTAAATTTTACAAATATACAAATTAATTGTAAAATTAAAAATTGAATATTATGTTATAATAAATGACTAGATGCATTTTAACTTTGTAGGCAGTTATCTTTAAATAATGATGATTGTATATTTTAGTTTTACGCAAGTTTATCCTGTTACTATTAAGCTACAAACATAAAAATCTTTAAGATTTTGAATATTCAGAATCTACCATCCATAGTCAAATTATGATATTCTGCAATAAGTGTGGTCGGGTCCGAAAGTTCGGGGGACTCGGCATATGGCCCCATCTGAGGCAAGGAAATTCCTTGAATCGAATAGTTAAAAACACAGATGCGCTGCCATTTTCAAACTAATCCCCGTGGACAATGATGTGTTTTTTCTGATGCTTGTACAGTTTCCGGAAGTAATGTCATAAGCCATCTTTTGCAATGCTTGTAATGCTTTTACCTCATTTGGTGACTCTAGACATTCGAAGACAGCTTATGACATTTCTTCCAGAAGCCATATGAGCTCTGGCAAAAGTGCATCATTGCCCAAAGGGATTAATTTAAAGGTAGTTGTGTACCGGCGTCTTAAACTATTCAAGTTCAAGGAACTATATGCAGAGTCCTAAATGTTTTAATCATATTACATATAATCATGGAATAAAGTTTTCTTGTTATATGTATTTTCTTATTTCAGTAAAATAACAAAACAACTCTGTAAATAATAATCATTTAAATGACATTGAAAATAAAAATACAGTATAGATAGTACAGAGAGTAGAATTTTATGTATAAACTCTTCACATTAAAACAGTCCTTGTTTGCTTTAAACTTATAGTAGTTTGTTAACCACATTACCTATTTAATTTAGTGAATTAAGCAGTGCCTCTTTTAACAGTGGGTAAAAATTGAGAAATGCTAACATATTTAATGCGGGTCCTCGAGCATGAATAAATAAAATCAATTTTTATCCGTCCTTGCCCAAAGACCGGATCAAAAACTAGTGTTTTCTCGGTTTCATCCACTGTTAAAACTGCATTGTTTATTTTTGTAAGTGCTTAAGGTTATCTGAAATTTGAAATGTAAGAAAACAGCCTCTCTGGAGATTTATGTATTTATAATTAAAATTAAACTTTCCAGAAACTGTGATTTTTTTCAAACAACAAACTGATCTATATGCGAACTGATGCGGTTATTTAGTTTAGAGATTTGTATAATTTTATGTTAAATACTTACATATTGCACTTGTTTTTATTCAAATTTTAGGTATTGTCTGGAACAAAGAGACACTGTTCATCTATTTGGAAAATCCCAAGAAATACATTCCCGGTACCAAGATGGTATTTGCTGGCATCAAGAAGAAGCAGGAACGAGCCGATCTGATCGCCTACATCGAGCAGGCCTGCAAGTGATGAAAATTTAGTTAGCATCAAATTATTATTATTATGTGTAATATATTATATTGAGCTATCATCATTTGGTTACAAAAAGGAAACCATTCATAAAAAAGACATTAGAGAGTGAAGAGTAGCGCAAAAACCCATTGAAATTTAGAAATAAAGTGAAGGACTAACAGTTTGATATTTTACTGTTATGTTTTTGATTGACAAATAAATAAAAAAATAACAAAAATTGAAAAATGATTTTACTGTTTGTGTGTGTTATTTATTCACATAAATTAACAATTTTTAACCTTTTTTTTTAATATTCTGGAATGATTTGTAGAAAGATTAGAGTAAATAAATTTGAAAACTTCCGTTATTAAATTTCTAATTTTAAAAAATTGTTTAATGTTATAAGTATATTCATGTATCAGTGTAATTTGGTTGATATTGAGGAAGTACATTCCTTGTGACGTCAAAATTTATCGTACCGATTAAGCGATATGATTATATAGTTATAAACAACCGGGAATTCGATAACGTAAATCGGTTAGGATCGATTACGTTTTGCTATGGGTAAACCCACCGATAATGCGAAACGAGTATAGTTAATTAAGTATTAATTAAGCGGCGGCACGACCGAATGTTACGCTATAAATATCTTTAATATAAATGGCGATTTTTTTTTGTACTTAACTATCGCACGTAGCGCTTTTTATTTAAATTTTTTTTTGGGAGGATCTGGCAACACTTGAAGTAGCGCAATAGCCAAGGATGCATGTTGTAAGATAAACAAGTAGTAGAGTCGCAGATGATGCGGACGAGAGAGGAGGTTAAGAAGCAGCTTTTCGCGAGAAAGGAGGAGGAGGAAGTGGTTAAAACCGAAAAGAATCATGTCATGTTATATATATTAGTGGCTTCCCTGGCCGTTCTGGCCATTTATACTCGCTTCAATACTCAGCAGAATCAATGTAAGTGTTTGTAATTAAGAATTTGGGTTAAGTAAATTGGCGTATTTCGATCGTTCCTAAGAAGGAGCGAGCAGAATACGCAATATAAAACGTGTTTATTTCATCATTTATGAAAGTTATGACGTGGTTTTGAGGTGGTAACTCCGCTGCAGTAGTTGTCATTGTTATAGTTTACCTAGTTTTTAAGTGGTGTACGATTGCAGCAGCTAATTTTCGGAAAACAGAAAAGTTTTATTGTTACTACAGAAAAATGATTGATTTATGGTAAAGTAACGCTAGAATATGTCTATTTTAGATGGAGGATTGATGACTGCAATAAAAATAAAGCTATTGGAATGCATAAAAAATGCTACAGAAATGGATGAATGTGCATTGTGGGGATTACGGATGGAAATATTGCACGCTACCTACTCTAAAATGATAAACAAAAAATTGGCACCGTGAATGAGTTTTATTTATAAAAATGAATCAGTTTAACAACATAATTTTATGAGGAAAATAGGTTAGTGTGTGTGTGTGTGTGTTTTTTTTTTTTTTAATTCAAGTTCACTTTAAATGGAAGCACTTTAAAATTAGTGTTGACGAAGGCGGCGGGTTATGTAAATAATCCTTTTGCACTTATACTCGACGACTGTATTTAATCCGGTATTTTCGGATGGTGTCTATAAATATTAGATTAAATACGGCATCCGAATCGTTGCGGTGGTGTCTTGTTAAAAATATATATTAAGATTACCTTTGGTTCTTTGTATTTCGCTACAGTAACTGTGTTTGACACCTGCAGAAATTTAAAATTGTAAATCAGTGATGAATTATTTTTATGTTGCTGCAAATACTGTGAAAATATTGTTAAAGAATATTGGCAAGTATGTCAGCATTAAATATTAAAGTTAATAATTGTTAGTGATTAAGATAGATGAAAATTAGTAATGGTAGTTGTTGTTAATTTAAATACTGTATTGATATAATTTGTAATGTAGGTTTTGAACCAATGCTTTACACTGGTGTAGTGACTAATTTTTGTAATAGCAAATAGCAATGTTTTGAAGATTCAGATAGAGAACAAATAATTAATAATAAAAATTTATTCAGATTTATAATGTGTTAAGTAATTTATTTAGCTTAACGCAAATTTTCATTTTCATAAATAATTGATTACCTAGTATTACTAAGCAAGTATTGATTCATTTCTTTCCTATATTTTCTAAGAATGAATATCATTTAAGAAAAATGAATTGAATATTCTCCTTATTGGGCTGCAATTTGAAAAAATTTTAGACCTACAAATTCCCACTGTCGTCTCACTGTCTGCCTGTCTGTTCTACCTTAATCTCAAGAACAGAGTTAAATAGATGAAAGACGAGACCAGATATGGAAAGCTTGGGTTGGGGGCCCGATTAACTATATAAGAACTTTCTGCTTGCACCCAAAGTAACATTACTTAGATTCAAAAATTTTCCCCCAAAAGGAGTTACGTGACTGGTATGATTCTATTGCTAACGGGAAAAATATGATGCACGGGAGCAAGCCACTACTAATTTGAGATGGAGAGCGTATATTTTAAATGAAATAAATAAAAAATTTGATTAAAAATTGCAGCCTGGCATTGTGACGACATCACAAAAAACATTTTTTACGAGCAATTATTTAATCTGTTGATATATTTTCATAATACGTAATCATTTTTACAAGGAGTAATACGAGATTTGATTATAATTGTAAATTCGATACCTGACGACGGTGACACAAAATAGAGTTTGTGCTGCCTGCTGCCAACCTGTCATAATGTCGGCTCTGGAGGTCTGGGGGCCCGGGGCAAAAACGTCTTGGCAGGTAACACTGGAGGTTGGTCTCGATCACTGGAGCACAATTGTTTACCAGCAACCACCAGAAGGTGATTCCTAGTTGTCGTGCGATCTTAGTGTTCTCAGACAATCTTCAATGTTGACTTCCCCACGTCCTTGAAGACCCAGGTTTTCGTACACTTTTGCTCCCAAAATTCCGATTTATGGTTGGTCCAAACTGGTGGTCTCCAACATCCCCGATCTGTTGTCGGGGGCACGATTTGAGTTGCGGGGTCATCAACCACGCTCTATTATCCCCGATATGGACCTGTCCCCGAAGATAGGGTAGTGCTCCTTCTCAATCATTTGTCCCGTAAATTACCGAAAATGTGTTTTTCTTCTGTCTTGGAAAGGATGCACCCTGACCGCACAGTCCCTGTCACACCCCCTCAGAGGAAGCATTTGCTTTTTCCGCTTTGAACTCTGTCGGGTGACTGCAAAACTCTGATTGTTGTTGCTCATTTACCCTCCCCAGCAATCTACACCTGGGAATGTGACAATTAAATCTTATAGCACCTTATTTCTCTGTCTCTGGCTCCATTCACAAGAATAAACCACCTGTTTATCGATGTTGATGGGTGAGGACCCAGTCTCGCTTAATACAATGTTAATGGACAAGGTATAAAGCCAAGGTTCAAAATATAAAGCCTAATATATACACCCAAACCAGTTGGACCTGTGGTCAAACTCTCATCTTTTAGCTTCAAATGCTATTAAGCTACAGAAATACTTTAATTTTATCATACAAATATTGTACAAAAACTTGTACAAATATATTATATTGATGAATTGAAAAGCAGATAGGTCAGTGATAAGTTGTGATAATAATTATGTTCTTTTATGTGATGCATGAAGTTATAATGACTACATTCATTCTTATCAGCAGTTTGTTTGTTTTTAATTTATTGTGTTTTTGATAAAAAAAAAAAAATAGTGATTAATTTGGCACAATATATTTACAGTTCTATTGGCAATATGAGTCAATAAGGTTGTGAATATATTATGAGCCATTCTTATCAGTTAAGATGCATGTTTGCTTACATTTATAGTGATTAGTTCATTGCTGATGAATAGGAAATGAATAGATGCATCTTTTAGTAGAAAATTATATATAATTTTAACATAATTTTAATATCCATTTTTCAATGTTTCACTGTAGAACATATAATTCTGAAATTGGGCCTCCTAGAAAGCATTAAATAGTGACACTTCTAACTTCTAAATTCAATCTGATTAAGTAAACAAATCTTATGAGCTCTCTTCATTTGTTAATATAGATCATAATGTAAGAATTTTCTCATAGATAAGTTTAGGACTGTATTGACTAAAATATTGTCAATAAATATATAGTACTGAAATTGTTACCATATTTATGGCACCTAAATATAATTTTCTGCAGATATTTTTAAATTAAGTACTTTATGAAAATTATTACAAAAATATAAATATTTTAATAATTAATTTTACAGGTTTAGTATTATCATTGGTTATAGCCAGTTACTATTACTGAATTCATTGCTGGCTTATATATTGACTAAATGTAAATTGTTTTGATACTTTGAAATAGTCGTGAGCACACAGACCACATGCAACCTGTGAGGTTCTAATACATGATCGCTAGGATCTGGTAATATAATTTTGTTTTCTTAGCTTCTCCCTCGTAACCATTATACAATCCTAATTAAGCTGATATTTGTGACAAAGAACATTCAAATTAAATTTGACTATTAGAAAAATGAGAATAAATTATGTATTACTAGTTGCATATCATTAGTGTATATTATTTTAGTATCTAGCTTGCTGGTGGTTATGGAGTATGTTTGTACTCGACAGACTTAAAGCCAAAACTCTACAAGAAAAAAATGCACGTAGCCTATCAGAAGACTATAAAGTTCAGTCTAAGCATCCAGAAAAGCTTGCTCGTCACTTCTTTAGAGTCTTAAAAATAAGTGAAATTGTCATTTATTAATAATTTGGGGGCTTGTTGAAAAAATGGTGTATTCCACATTACGAAATTTTCAAGAAAAAGTAAGGAGTTGTTTTTCAATTCACCAGTACTTAACTATGCAACATTTTATTACTATGGATATGCAACTTATGGTGCATGTGACTGAACTATAAAAAATTTTTTAGAAGACAGATTAATGATGCATGATGCACAAATCCATGTTAATAACTCATTCTTTGTAATTTTGCAGAATATGCTGTATATTGTATATGGTCCAATAAGCCTTTCATTGCAGACCATATATAAATTTTATTAATTTAAAAAATTAATTAAGAACATTTTCGATCAGATTCACTGATCTTCCTCAGTTATAGAACATAACGGAATGGAAGAATAAAAGAACGTAAATACAAATTGAAAAGAATGCAAGTCTCTCAAATTTGTATTTACTGAGGAATATCGGTGAATCTGATTGAAAACATTCCTA